GCTTTAAAACTGTGGCCAAACAGTAGTTTTATAATGTAACATGTATATCTCAAATATGAATATTGCACAGCAGTAGAGTGAGTGGTGTTTAATGTTGTGGTACTGACGGTGTTCATGTGTTGGGTTTCTCAGGACGGATCTGGAGGACTGGCTCTCGTCCTGAACGCTAAACACATTCCCTGCTCTACTCACACGCTGAAATGCATTTAATAACCGGAAGTCTAACACGGGCCCTTCTGGCTCCCACTGTGAGGAATCACTAATCAAGAAGATGCACCTTCAGCAGTCTGGATGCTTCAGACACGTTATCCTGGAACCTAGAAATACCACTGAATTAAAGCCTGAATAATTAAATCAGTGTGACTTCTAAATGTTTTGTTTTTCTTTTCTTTTTCTCATATGAAACATAATCGATTAAAACAGGCCAGAGCAACAATATCAGACATTATTAAACTTATTGAATAAAATGTCCAGAAAATGACCAACGTATGCATTCGTGCTTATTTTAAGGAAGCAAGTCATACAGTGTGACGTGAGGACGAGTGACCTATTTTAGGACCATTTACTTTTTTGTATTATACAAAATTTATAATGTTTTATAGTATTGTCACATAAAAAGGTCACAAAAAAGTTTTCACTTCTGGTTGAAATCCAATGAATTTGTTTGTTTATTTTTATTTTGAGGTTTTTATTAAGAAAGAAAAACACGCAGTCAATGAGTTTTATAAAACAAAACTATTTGGATGCTTTACAGTAATGAAATCAAAACGAATGTAATGAAATTTGGTTCTTTGCAATGTTACATTAAGAAGTAAACTTGTATTTTAAAATATAGGAAAATGTAAAAAAGTTTTTCTTTCTTGTTAAAAAATAAAAATGCTGTACTACAGTGCTTTAAATGAGTGACCGTTTGAGAGAGGAATGTGTTTAATGGTCACAGAAATCATGACGCAGAAGCTGTTGAATAAAACAGCTTGAGTTTCAGATGAAAGAAGGGAGCGGCGTGAGTTTGAGATGAAGGAGTGGCGCCCGCTCGGGACTCAAACACTTCCGGAGGCTAGATTACACTCGTCCAGTTTTTCTCAGGGCCGCTCGATCTAACGCTGCCCGTTGTTGTGACCTATTGTCTTGTCTGGAGTCTCGGGGCATCAATTATTCCTCGCCGTTTCTATCGACTCGAAGAACAAAACCAAGCCTGAAGCAAAACGAGGGCCGGAGACGCGGGGCGGGGAATGAATGAAGGGGCCGTGAAGCGCTCCATCATGTGCTGCGCTGGGCTTTGTGCTTCTGTGGCACGGGGTCCATCTCCAGAAATAATCGGAAGCATTTCAAGGGGTCTCGGCTGGCCTGAGACCAGCGCTCTTTGTTTTTACTGACCTTTTAGTGGATCGTTTATACGTGGACTTGTCGTGTCAGAA